CTGAGGCCTGTTCTTGTGCCAGTACCAAGCTGTTTTGATTACTATGGCTTTGTAGTAGAGTTTGAAATTTGGTATTGATATTCCTCCAGCACTGTCCTTTCTGTTAAGGATCGTTTTTGCTATTCGGGGTCTTTTATTGTTCCATATGAATGTTTGGATTGCCTCTTCGATTTCCTTGAAGAATGAGGTTGGAATATTGATAGGTATCACATTGAATTTGGAGACAGCCTTGGGAAGTATTGCCATTTTCACTATATTGATCCTTCCAATCCAAGAGCATGGGAGGTTTTTCCACTTTCTAAGTTCTGTTCCCTGAGTTTCTTATCTCCAATTAACCACCAAAAAGCTAGAAGTGGAACTAGCTCAAGTGCTGGAGTGTCAGCCTTCAGCAAAAAAGCTCCAGAACAGCCCCCAGGCCCTGAGCTCAGGCCCAGAATTAACACATACCCACACCCTCCCCAAACACACACACCTTAATTTGGAACTTATTTTCATATAGTGTGAGAGATAAGGGTCTATACAGGATCTCTGGGGGATCTGTGTGGATATCTACTTTTCCAACACCATTTGTTGAAGAGACAATCTTTTCTCTAATCTTTTTTGGCTGCTTTTATAAAATTCACATGGCTATACTAATTGTTGGATCTTCTGATCTATTTCAAGGACTTACATGCCTGTTTTTGTACCCATACTATGCTGTTTTTTTTAATTAGTATAATTTGAAGTCTAATATTGTGATGTCTCCAGTATTGCTCTTTTTGCTCAGGATTGCTTCGGGTATTTGAAGACATTTGTGCTTCCAAATGAACATTAGGGTTAAACTTTCCATTTGGAGGAAAAATGACATTTTTAGAATTTGATGGGTATTGTATGGAATGTGTATGTTGTTTTGTTAGTAAGGAAATTTTCATAATATGCATTCTGTTGACCTCCATGAAGATGGAAGTCTTTCTATATTCCAGTGTATTTATCAATAATATCTTTCCTCAGTGTTTTATAGTTTTCATTGTAGAGCTCTTCCATCTCCTTTGTTACATTTCTTCCTATTTAATTTATTTAAGGCTATGCCAATGGGGTTGTTCTAATTTTTTCTCATCCTGTTTATTATTGGTAGGTAGAAAAGCTATTGATTTTTACAATATTGATTTTTCTGTTTGCTAACCCTAAATCTAAAGTTTTTCTATCTGCTAAATCTCAGATCTAAGACTTTTTTTTCTTTTTTGGGGTCCGGTCATGGGGCCTGAACTCTGGGCCTGGGCACTGTCCCTCAGCTCTTCAGTTCAAGGCTAGTGTTCTACCACTTGAGCCACAGTGCCACTTCCGGCTTTTTTCTGAGGTGGTGAGGAATTGAACCCAGGGCCTCATGCATGCAAGGCAAGAACTCTACCACTGAGCCACCTTCCTAGCCCCTCTAAGACTTTTTTGTGGACTCTTTAGGCCAGAAACTTCAAAACTGCTCGAGGATATCATAAAGTTCTTGAAGATACACACATTAGCAATACCTTTTCTTAACGGAATCCCAGCTAATCTAAAAGTAAGCGCAAGAGTTGGAAAATTAGATTCTGTCAAATTTAAAAAGCTTCTGTACAGTGAAAGAAACAATTTACAGAAGCAAAAGAAAACCTACAAAATGGAAGACAATATTGCCAGTTATTCACAGGATAAATGATTAACATCTAGAATACAAGAAAAATGAAGAAAAGATCAAACACCGAAAGAATAAATAATATGGGCTAATAAATTGGCACATGAGCCAACAGCTTTTCAAAGAAGTACAAATGGCTAGAAATACTCCACATCTTTACCCATAAAGGAAATGAAAATCAAAACTTCATTGAGATTCCATATTAAGACATTCAGAATTTACTGTTATCAAAAAGACAACAACAAATGAGGATGTGGGAGAAAACAAGACCCTCACATACTTTTGTAGGAATGAATATTAGTGCAACTATTATGGAAATCAGTCTGGAGTCCCTACTAAAACTAAAGACGGAGCTAGCACATGATCCTGTTACAGCATTCCTAGGCATATATGTAAAGGAATGGAAGTCAACATACATTTAAAACACTGGCACAGTCACGTTTATAGCACTGTTATTCAAATGAGGAAAAACATGGATCAGTATAGATGCCCATCAACCACTGAATGGATAAAGAACACAACAGAGTATTGTTAAGCTGTAG